CTTGTAGTTAGCTTATTTGAACTTATCTTGTCTAGTTGTCTGAAATAATTCAAAAGAATTCGAACAGATTAGGGCCTTAGGCTCATCTCAGGCAGTTCCAAATTTATTACTTTTGGTTAAAATATCTTCATTTTGACCGTGCCAGGAAAAAAGGATGTCTTTACTGTATTAATATAATCTTATCATCATTATTTATTGGATCTGATCTCAGGCCCCCTCCAACAAAACTTACTATTTCTTACTCGAAAGTACACTATTTGATTTGAGTTCGAATTATATTGAATTGGTATATTATCTTTTCTTGTCATACAGACATCAGTATGCATTATGTATCCATGTTATTTATTTGAAATGTCTTGGTGGGTACTCCTACAAAAACTGAATTGAAAATTTCTAAATAAAGAGAAATTCTCATAATTGGCTGTGGACATTGTATGAAAATTCAGTTATTCCTTGTAACATCCTTTCATGAACTTGAATCTCCATGTTCCTTTCTGTAACAAATCACAGCTAGGATGTCCTTGCGTCATATAACTTTTGGTCACTGCAATGTCTTCTCATCTTCCCTTTATTTGGGAAGGACATGCCTAGGCCTGGATCTGGGTTTGGGTTTTACCTTTGTCTGAGTTTGGTGGGTTTTAGAGCTAAGATTTCACTTTTCACTTTGTATTACTCTTTTTTCTGGTTTCTGTTGCAATTTTAAGGGTGATTAGTCTGTAGCTTCTTCACTGAGCTCTGCCTAATAAAAAGGAACCAAGAAAAGAAATTCTGGACAAATCTTTTTCACGTAGTATTAAACTAGCAGCTCAGTATCTATCTTGCTAACTTGGCTGGCTGCCTGCCTATACAGGTATGGTGTCCTGAAGATTAGGGAATACTGTCTGGATGCAATGGCATGTAACTTTGAGACATTTGCTGATACACGAGAATTCCGAGCCATGCTTTTGACTCTTCCTCCACCATCAGGAGACTCCTCCCTCCGAACCACTGCTCCTAGTGCCCCAGGAGCAGGAGGACACAGTGACCAGGGTAATATTCTTGATGATTTGCGAGAGAAGTGGCTTGAGATTGAAGCTGCCGAGCTGGATGAAAGAGATGAGAGTGCCTTGCTTTTTGACAAGCGACTTGAGATGCTGATGCAAACTGTGGAACAAGAACAAGAGATGTCTGATTCCATCGACTAGACAATAGATTGCTCAATGATGCTGGTGTAATAGAGAAGTTTGTTATAATATTTCTTAACAAGCAATTGGCCAATTGTGAATACATAAATCGTTATCATAGTAAGAGAAATCCCATCTGAGTGATGTTCAGGTGCACTCATAAGGCCGAAAGCTGCAGTGTCAGTAAGTAGTTATACTATGGCCAAAGTTAGGTTTAGTGACTTGTGCTTGTATACTCTCATCATTCTTTTTACCACGATACATGAAATGGAATATCTTAAGTTTGTGCCATTGCTTTTGATGAACAGAACCTGTATACACTCATGTCATCTCCCTCATTCTTCCATCCTCATAAGGGAACTCCACTTTGTTCTAAAAATCTGTTTTTTTGAACATACAGAATATGGATGACAAAGTTTGTTGTTTTCATAGCTGTGTATTAATTATTACCTCGATTCCTTTTTGTTTGTACTAGAAGAATTTTTACCTTGAGAATTCATGATACATTATCAGAAATAACGTACGGAGTATTTGTTTGGTTTTGTCAACTTTTGTAGTATGAATTACCTTGTTGAAGATAATGAAACCCAAGTATGTGCATCAAAAAGTGTGCAAAAGTCAAATGGGACAAAATCACAAATAAAAAGATATGAAAAGAGATTATTTTTTTGTGGTGTAGAGGAGTAATACTTTTTTTTTTTTTTTTTTTTTTTTTTGAGGGAAAGAGGAGTAATACTTTTAAGGCTTCATAAATACTTTTATGAAGTTTTTTTTTTTTTTTTTACACATTATAGAGTAATAAACTACCTTTGTTCATTTAAGTTCTACGCACTTATTATAGACACGCAATTAGAGGTGTCCACCGTGCGAGTCGTGCGAGCTGGGTTAGGGTTAGGTGGGTCGCGGGTTGGGGTTTCATGACACACGGCACGACACACGTAGGGTAGGGTGGGCCGGGTCGTGGGTTGGGTCGGAGAAGTTGGACACACCAGGGTTAGGTTCGTGGGTTAGACGAGTCGTGGGTGGGTCGAGCTGGGTTTGTGGGTTAGACGGATCGTGGGTGGGTCGAGCTGGGTTTGTGGGTTAGACGGGTCATGGGTGGGTCGAGCTAGGTTCGTGGGTTAGACGGGTCAAGGTGGGTTAGTGAGTTAGGGTGGGTCGAAGGGTGGGTTAGTGGGTTAGGGTCGGGTGGGTTTGTGGGTTAGGTGGGTTAGGGTCGGGTGGGTTAGTGGGTTAGGGTCGGGTGGGTTTGTGGGTTAGGTGGGTTAGGGTCGGGTGGGTTTGTGGGTTAGGGTCGGGTGGGTTCGTGGGTTAGGGTCGGGTGGGTTGTGTGGTGTTTTAATTTTTACAAAATTAACAATTTGATGGCTTGCTCTTAATTAAGATGCCTACGTATCCTTATATTATAAAATAAGGAATCAAAGCCAGCGTAGTTCTTATATTGTACTTCTTTTGAAATTTGGGGGGGGGGGGCTTGGACCTATCTTTAGAAAACTAAAATTTAATTTTGCAATTAAATTGTAATTTTCGAAAAATAAGTTGCCTACGTATCCCGAAAGAATCAAAGCCCACGTAGTTCTTAGCGTACCTGATTTAGACTTTTCTAGCCACCCATGTTTGTTGCATCATCATCCCCGGAAGCTGCATCATCCGTTGACGACTCCAATATCATCACAGGATCATCTTCATCGTCTTCGTCTTCCTTTAAACCTTGAGTTCTTCTTTCAGCTTGATCCCAATCTTTCTTACAAACACAAATTTGAATGCTTTCCGGAGTTAAGCGAGATCTTTTTTCATCTAACACTCTTCTACCTGCACTAAAAGCAGACTCGGAAGCAACAGATGAAGCGGGAACTGCAAGTATATCTTTTGCAATTCTCGCCAATATAGGAAAACTTTTTTTATGTTCTTGCCACCATTTTATAATTTGAAAGTTGTTGTTGGTCTCATGTTGATATGACAAATAATCATTAATAGCAAGTGTTGAAGAAGATGATGATGAGAATGATGTAGATGCTTTGTGTTTTTTTTTCATAACTTTATCAAGAAAACCAAATCTAGAATCGGAAGTGCTAGTAGTAGTTGGTGTTGCCAAATCAAAACCATAAATAGATGCATAATGATCATAAAGGTCTCCCAAAACAGATTTGCATTTGTTAATATATTCACTAACATCATAATCGATACTTAAACTTGTATAATAAAATTCTAAAAGATTTTCCAAACCTTCAGCTTTGACACCGGGGTCAAGAATAGCAGCAATTCCATAAATGATTGGAAATTCACTAAAATAAGTATGCCACTTACGTTTCATGCTATCAAGAACGGGACGAAGTCCATCAATCTTCATATGCTCTTCGATGGTGTGAACAACTTTAACACACTCAATTATGACTAAATGAACGTTAGGCTCATAAATATAAGAGAAAATATGAGTTGCACTATCAAAAGCATTTAAAACATCACGAACAAAAGAAGCATTAGTCCAATGACTTTCGGTTATTAACTCAGTAGGATCAACACGAGTCTCATTGTAAAGTTGGGTCAAAATATCACGATACTTTATAGCATCACTCAACAACTTGAAAGTAGAATTCCAACGGGTAGGGGTATCAATAGACCATTGTCTTTTCTTAAGACCTCTCTCTTTACACATAGCTATGTACTTTCTTCTAACTGACTGAGTAATCCTAATCCATTTTATAACTGTTCTAATTGGGTTTAGCAATGGTTGCAACTCAGCGAGACCCTCTTGAACAGACAAATTCAAAATATGAGCACAACATCTAACATGCAAGAGACTACCACCCAACAACAAATTCAACTCGGAGTCATTTTTCAAATAGTCAATACACTTTGTGTTTGCAGTTGCATTATCAAGAGACAAAGAAAAAACTTTATTATTCAAGTGAAATTCTTTTAAACAATCCAAAATACGAACTTTGATGTTAAAACCGGTATGCCTTTCTTCCATAGCTTGAAAACATAGTATACGTTTTTGAATAAACCAATCATCATCCACCCAATGAGCAGTAATGCAAAGAAAAGGTTCGCCAAAACTAATTATAATATGGAGAAGAACTTTTTTTTTTTAGAATCTTAAGAATACTAATAATAATATTAAGGAGATTTTTTTTAACAAAAATATAACTCTATATAACACTTGAGAATTTGAGAACAATAAGAATTTTTAAGTAAGAGAGAAAGAAAGCTTGAATTTGTGTGGAAATTTGAGTGAAATGGAATTGGTATTTATAGGAAAAATAGAATGGATGATCATACACTTAAAAAACTAGCCGTTAGATACAAAAAACTAGCCGTTAGATACAAAAAACTAGCCGTTTTTTTTTTAAAATGGATGTTAGGCCGTGCGGGTCGTGCGAATTGTGCGGGTTGTGCGGGTCGTGCGGGTTGTACCGGCCGTGCGGGTTGGGTGGGTCATGCGTGCGGGTTGGGTGGGTCATGCGTGCGGGTTAGGTGGGTTGGCTCGTGCGGGTTGGGTGGGTCATTCGTGCGGGTGGGCCGTGCGGGCTGAGTTGTGCCAGGTGGGTCGGGTTAGGTGGGTTCACGGGCTAGGTGTGTCGAATTAAATGAGTCAAAACGGGTTGTGCGATTTGGGTCGAATCAAACGGGTTAAACTGAGCTGGGTTGAAATGGGTTGTGTCGAAAATTTTGGACCCACGACACAACCCGGATTAAATCCGAGCTGTGCCGGGCTGTGCCGGATTGAAACCGGGTCGGACCCACGTGACCCACCAGCCGTGCGAGTTAGGGTGGGCTGGGTCCAACCCGGCCCACTGGCCACCTCTACACGCAATTTAAGAAATTGTTGAAGAATGTGAGTGAGTATAAGATAAAGTAAGAGGGAAAATGTAAAAAGGTGAGTTTGTGTAAGAAAAAGGTGAATAAAGTAAGAAAGTGTGAAAATGTACAATTATTATGGCATTTGAAGGGTATAAGATGGTATCATGGTAAAAGGGGTATAATAGAAAACAGTAAAGTGAGTAGAGCTTAAAAAAACGGCCTAAAACGGAAAGTGAGTAGAACAAAAAAGATTGAATGGGAGTACATCGTCATCATACTTCTCCGACTGTTTAAGTTCTTAAAAATTTGACTACAAAAATCTAAGTGAAAGATAAAAAGATATCACATGAAATGTTTTCCTAGTATAAACTTTATGCATATAATTAATACAATAATTGTAGCCACGATGTATATTTTTATCTAATCCACAAAGCTTCTTTCACAAAAAAAAAAAAAAAAAAAAAAAAAATCTAATTCACAAAGCTTTCAAGTTTACATGAGCAAATACTTCTTTTCTATTGTTTACAAGCATTGTGAAAAACAAATGTGTATTTTTCCTATATCCAAAACAAAATTTGATTTTCTTTTTTTCTGATACTTTTCCTTTTCTAAAATTTGTATAATTTTATATTTTACGTTCAATTAAGCCCAGAAAAGACAAAAATCGAGGCAGACACAAAAATTATTTGCTGCACTAACTTCATTTCTCCTTTGGCTGGTCCACTACTGATTGGGATGCCTCAGCAGAGTCTATTGAACCTTCAGCAGCAGATGGGGAAGCCTGAGCAGGATAAGTTGAATCTTCAACAGCAGCAGGGGAAGCTGGGTCGGTTGAATCTTCAACAGCAGTTGGGGAAGCCTCAGCAGGGCCAGTCAAATCATCAACAGCAGTAGGGGAGGCATCTTCAGGATCGATTGAATCTTCAGCAGCGGTAGGGGAAACATCTTCTGGGTCAATTGAATCTTCAGCAGCTGTAGGGGAAGCATCTTCAGTTTCTTCGAGAACAGCCAGCTGCCCTGGTTTTTTCTGAAGGCTCCAGTACATGATGCTTGCTGTTAAGGTGAGTATCATCTTCTGATTTACCTGTCAAAGAAATGCATTGCATAGTAAGATAACATCTGATTCTGACGCTACAAATTTTTGTTATTTCTAGCTACCTAACGAAAGACCAAATTGAGAGAAATGAGGATTGAAGCACACAATTCCAGCATACGCACGAAAAGAGAAAAATTCTAAATAGGATGAATTAGTACTGAATATAAATTAAAAAATAAAAAAAAAAACTTCCGAGTTTCTGACAGAATCAGCTTAAAACAAAGAAACTGAAATGGACTGGCTATATTGACCAGGGTACTCCATCCAAGCACAGTTTGTCAAAGACCACGATGTTCCTGAAACTAGGTAATCAGGATTTGGCCTAAATCAAAATTGACATGACCTGAAAAGTAATATGGCGGAGATTGGTTGAATCCCCTATCTAGAATAATAGACAATAAATATGATCATGACCCAAACCGAACTTGATCCAGATGGCCTGCTCGTCACCATTAAACAAAACTATAATCATAAGGTTAAATTAATGAGAAGTAACAAAAAGTTAGCGCCAAGTTAATGGACTCCAGCTCTCACCTCTACGATATCCTCAGGCAACAAAAATATAGAGCATCCAAGCTTTCTGGCAACACTGATTATGTAAGAAGCATTCAGCTTCTTATCCTCATCTGCAGTCACAGAAAATTTATTCAATAGCATTACATTTTGTACCTCTTTCAAAAACACAAAACTATGCATAGAATCATATTTTAAAGAATAGCATTGAACATCAGTGCACATAGAGACAAAAGTACCATTTTCGCCTTTGGTTACAACTGTCCAATCAACCACTCTTGGCTCCACTGCACTAAGAAGTTCCAGGAAAAATATCCCACTAGATAGACTTTTATCCTGAATAAAAATTCAGATTCGAGTGTAAAAGATCAATTCATCTCAGTTGTATGTCATTCAACTTCTAATTAGTTTGGTTACCAAAAAAAAAAATGATATATGAAGTATAATCTTGTAACCAAAAACCACTGTAGCATACGTACTTTGAAGCTATCTATCTGAGAAGATTTCCCTGAACTCTTGACCTTTTTGTTTGCCCATTCAAGAATATGTGCATCTGTAATCTCTCTCCCTTGTGAGAAAGATCTCAAATTTTTCAGTAGTTGGAGCATTGTAAACCTCATCAACTGCCAGAGAAAAGCTGAAAAATATAACATTTGTATAGGTTAGTTGCTAGGTTTCAAAGATCCAAACTAATGCATTATGATGTAGTGTGTCAATTTGTGGTTATCAAGCTTAGAAATATGCAATAAAATCTCACACAACTACTTGGCTTCATTAAAAGCTAAGGAAACAGTATTTTTTGTTAGTCAATCAACAAGAAAAAGAGATATTATGGGTTATGAACAGCTTGACATCAGTTCTGTCATACACTCACACCATCTTTGCAATTATAAAATGGTTCCTTTATCCCAAATCAAAGAACTCAATTATAGACATCTATATCTTTCCCACAGAAAATTAAAGGTATAAAACCACAAGTCATACACGGAAAGATATAGAGAGAGAACCAGCAAGTACTCCAATTATACACATCTATACCTTTCTACAAATTTTCATGTTTTTCTCATGATGCAGCATACAAGAGAGAATCTTTTAAAGAATGGTAGAATAATTGCTTCGCACAAGTATACTGTCCAAACCAGAGAGAAACAGACTACAATTAAATCAATAGGTCAAGGTTTAAAGATAGCAGGATATGAAATAGCATCATATGCAGTGCACCAGTAAAATGAGCAAAAGCAGAGCTTCCCCCCCCCCCCCCCCCCCCCCCCCCCCGTCTTTTACAAGTTAAATTAGCTCAGAACAAAATTTTAAAGCAGCTATTAATTCACTCTCTTCACTTTGGTTAGATGAGTAAAAGAGGTTCCACTTCAATACCAAAATTTCTAGTATCAGTGCAGAGTTTCTAATCAGCAATATCTTTTCATTTACTTGGAAAGCCATAAGAACTGGTGGGTAAGGCACTAAGGCCTCTACTAGAAACAGCATAAGGTACTATCAGTTTTAGAAAGTAAACAACAAGTTAGAATGTACTCTATGTCTCCATCTCCAAAAACTCAAAACAAAGATAAGAAAAAAATCTATTGAATCCAAAAGCCTATACCAAAGCCCTCAAGACAGTATTCCATATGATCAACAAGATACATGCTGAAGCGTTAAAGTTGACAGTATGGCTGCAACCATCTCCAAGAACTCATATTCTAATCAAAAGGATATGGAGAAAATGGTAAGTGCAAGCTAACCTATGATGAGCTTTTTATTTCCTTGTACAATATCATTTCCAGCAACGTTAACTAGGGAGAAGTTCAATCTTTTTCCAATATCAATAACTTGATTGCAATTTTCAACTTTCTTGAATGGCATCTTGATAGGAGGTTTATTAGCATGTCTCCAGTTGACTGATCCTGGGAAAACTTTATCCAATACTTCCAAAAGCACCCATCTGCAAAGGAGGATAAAATATCAGCCTAGTCATACTATTTTATATACGACAGCACAAGACAAGAAGCTTACCCTTGTCTAACATCCTCAAACAAATTATTGACATATGATGAAACTCCGAGACTATTAATCCAGAGTCGAAAGCATCTCTCTTCCCTCGAAGTTTCCAAGTCATCATCTAAAACATTAGTGAGGGAGATCTTCTCTGTATCAACCTCAGCAGTCAGACCATTTCTGCAAAGCCAAGTCACAACCTCTTAACAAGCATTCAACAATTGCATTTGCAAAACTGAGTCATGGCACAGACTCACAGAGTAAAGAAAGAAGAGAGAGAGAGAAGAAATTGAAAAGATCCTTGCATCCAATTTTCCATTTTCTACACGTAAGACTGTGCAATGATGATGAAATGCAAAAAGCTCTTAGGTATCTATGATAAGGCTTTCTTTTCCAAATGCAAACGAAACCAACTCTCTCCTCTCCTCCTTTAAATCACCAAAACGAAAGTAATAACATTTTGCCAAATAATAATAAAAAAGAATATGCCATTAAACTAAACCTGGTGATATACCAGTCCAACTTCCATTTGGCACATCAACTATGAAAACCACGTCAAAGCCATGATTTACTTCATTGTGGTTTTTGAGTAAAAAAAAAAAACATCGACTTCAGTGTTCAGTCTCTAAGAATATACTCCAATTTAGGGAAACCAGGTTACATTAAACAACAAAGTAGCTTTATATGTAGTGATGGACATAGTATTTCCAAACAGTTTGGAAATATGAAAAACTGCTTACCAACAAATGAGATGAAATTTTAAAATAGTACCTATGACCTGATTATTATAGACATAAGTACAAAAGTTGGTTGGGGCTAAACTGAAATAAGCTAAGAGGAGAAAGTGGACACAAATAATTACACGTGCTAAACTAAACTATTCAAAGAAAGATAGTGGGCAAAACAATTACCTGTGTTGGAAAATTTGAGCAACAAATGTAAGATTTAAATTGGTTGATCCCTCTACAATATCCTTTGGACTGATATATCTATTACAATCCAATTTCCCTGCTTGTTCCACGATCAGTTTTGCTCTTTGAGTAGGATCTTTAGTTTCCAAAGTAGAGTTGGTTTTGTGTTCAGGTGCAAGTACATTTAGTAAATGAGCATAAGCTTCACCATCCTGGACAAGTAAAATTTGTTTGACCATTTAGTGTGTTAAACAATTATTATAATATTGCTGCTCATCTAGTCTGAGATAACTATAAGATGCAGCTTCATATATACCCATCAACTGTATATATGATACATCTTTATAATTTCATGTAGCATTGCTTCAGTTCCTTCCAACTGACATATAATTAAATTTGACATTCCAAGGAAAAATGCAAATATCAAAATTTTAGCTTAGGTCAGGGAATATTGCAATAAAGAAAAATAACAGATTGATTGCACAAGATTTCAAAACTGGCTTTCCCCAGATGCAACAACTCGTTGATGTTTCATGATGCATAAGAATCTCTGCCAATCATTAATACACAGAAGAAAACCCCTTCCAATCTCAGTTTGCACCATGTTATTAACTCATTACCCAATGCCTCTAACAAGGCTTCTACCTCAGGCAGGGCACAAAGGAATTAAAATGTATTGTACATGACCTTCTACCTGCAACTGTAGCTAAGTAGCTTCCTTCCAATCTCAAAACAATTACTGAACATTCTATCACCTTTAGCAGCAGGACACATAACCAGACAAGCAGCCCAGTAATTTTGATGAAATATTTTAGTTACATTTCTAGGCTGAGTCATATTACGAATAATTTCCACGCTTCCACATTATGCTCCAGAAAATTTTCCAATACTATAAATGATAATCCGAAATTCCGAACTGCGCACTATGTCCTTAAGGAACATGATGAAGTGTATGTCCATCAGATCATCACATACTAAGCAATGAGAAGTTTGAATAAGCTGTTTCTCCTAGACTATACATGATAGTGCTTAACATAATTGCAGCACATATTAACAACAGACGAAAAGTAGTACATTGGAAAAAGTATTTCAACAGTTAGCCCCAGATGCCGCTCATCCCACTAGTCACCGGTCTATAATAAGGGTTACCAGACTTCAATACAGGAAAGGGTAAAGAATCTTAATGAATAAAAAACTGTAATTTCTCCTCGAGAAATACAGAATGGGCAGCCTATACTTTTTAGTTCAAAGATCAAACTCCCAGAAGGAACTAGATTTATCACACCGGGTAGTTGAAAGTTAATGAAAAGCTTATAAAATAGTTTCTTTCATGCACCTAGTTTGTAAGTATTTCATGTTTCCAGAAATAACCTACTCTTCCCCAACCTTCCCCCTGATTTTACAGATTATCCTACTAACTTATTAACCACCATAAAGTCTAGGAAGCTAGATTGCACCATCCTCAGGTAAACTACATAAACTACTGACTAATTTACTATAAAGCAAAAATAACAGATATTTAAGTTCTGTCAAATAGAAAATCACTTTCAGGGTCATTAAAGAGCTCACCTTTAAATCAGTGGAGAAATTTGTCACCTCCTTTTTATATCCTGATTTCTTCAGCTGGAAGTTCATCCATTTCAACAAGACCTTATCTGGTGGCAAATTCATGAGCTCCTCCACATCCTGCAAAAAGTTTATGCAATCATAAACCTGATGGCTAGATGCAAATATATAACCATTGTTTGAAGATGTCAAAGAAGCTTCAGACCTGATTATCCTCCACCAACTCCACAAGTTGAGGCGTCTTCTTCAAATTAAGGTCAGCTAGCAATTGAATCTGATTCCCAAAAAAATTTATGAGCATTGCATTAATCGAGCATTACTATAGTAAGCTAATCCTAGTTTGTGAGACATAATTCCAATGAGTATGAAGTAAGAGAGACTAAAGACCTTAATAATACCTTAATAATTTGAGAAATCAATCCCATAACCAGATGACGCTACATGATGACAATTAAATGTATCAGCATCAGTAAAGTTTATTCAAATGTACCAAGAAATGCAACAACAAATTGTTAAGAACTTACTCGTCCCTCCACCAAGTCCTGTGTGCCAATGTTAACAACAGTGCAGCCTATAGCCTTTGCGGAATTAAGACAAAGTGTGTGGTTCTCATTTCTCTCCCAAGGATTTTGCGTTTTTTTGGTGTTTATTGCTCTTTCATCTATCGTCCCAGGCACAGCAAGATTAATCAACTTACTGCAAAAAGACGTAACGTTTTAAAGCTTTCCAACAAGTAATAACAAAGATTACAAACTAAAAACCAGCTATAAACTGATGCAAAGAACATCCAGGAGCCATGAGTGTATACCAAAGAAGAACTCCATCTTTGACAAGTTCAAATAGCTGGTTTGTTTTTGGGTCTATAGGAAGATATTTCTTCAAGAAGGGATCCTCCGCCAGATGATTGTTAATGTGTGTAACATATGATTCCTTCTCTGATTCACTAATGACATGGAAATGGGTGGTGGTCGATTGTCTGAGTATGGAAGTAGCTCGTTTATAACCAGTACCTTTCCCACTAGCTCGGCCTTGAAAACCAAGATATTCCTGCTCAGTGCCACAAAAACTTCAAATGATTTTAATTCCTTACATATAATGGCATTGCAATTTATTAAACAACTAAGAAAAAACACATAAACAACAGAATGCCATTCCATATAACGATTTGTAGTCATAGTAACTACCATAGAAAAAAATGACAAATATTTGTCTATGGCAAATTCTGCAATACAGCATGATTACATACAAGGGAACTTACCCTTAGGAAAGATTCGAAATCAATCTCGTGTGTCAAGTCAGGATATGAATCCTCCAATGCAGCTCTCACTTCATTCTCCGTATACATCCCATTAATACCCTTAAGTTTCGCAAAAACTGGTGGCAAATCCGACACTGTAACATGACCAGATTGCAACTTTAACGCAGAAAACTGAAACCAAACCCACAATATTAATGTCATCAATCAAGCAAACATATCATCTACATTAATTAATCAAATAACAACATCTTATACTACAACAACATCAACGATAATCAAATTAACAACAATCAAGTCAAAGAATTCAAAACCTTAGACTTGAGGCTGCGAAGCTCCACTTGGGTAAATTGACTTTGCAACCGAGGATCAGAAACAAGTACACCCTCAAACCCAGACATCTTTGAAATGTGCCAACTTTTTACTCTTTTATTGTTCAATCGTCAATTTTATCATCAAAACTGCAATCAACCCACCATTCTTCATCATCATCACAATAACAATAAATGCATAAAATCAAATGCAAGAAATCAAAATCAAAGAATAATACCGAGTATAATTGATAAAAACCCATTTGTGAAGTAAATTTTATAAACTGACAAATTATATTATATCTCATTATAAACCATATTCAATTATCATCAAAACTGCAAATAGCCCACCATCATCAAAAACACAATAAATGTAACCACAATTAAATGCAAACACTTTAGAAAATCAAATTCAAAGAATAAAAAAAATTAAAAATAATAATCACCCATTTCAAAATTTTAAAAAAAAATGAAAAAGCAAATTACCCATTTCAAAAATTCAATACCCATATAATCAAATTGATGATTCATCTTACGAAAAAAACAAAAACAACCCAAATGAAAAAAATTGAAGAAGTTTAGAGAGAGAAAATAAAAAACAAACCTTGTCATTCAGAATGCAATGCTAGAAATGAAGGAGAGAGAAAGAAAAGAAGAGATAAAAACGTAAGAATAAGGACTATAAAAAGCTTACCATTTTTGTTCCTTGGAGATTAAGGACTCTGTTGATTTCGCATGACAAGGAATTTAATTAATTTATTTAATTATATATTATAAAAAAAATTACAGTTTGATGCTTCCAAGTTATTTTGGGAAGAAAATTTGAATAAATGTTTGACAAATTAAAACAAAAAAATGTTTTTTTTTTTTTTGGGAACGTCTTTCCTACATGTGTGGACGGTGGGGGCGTGGGGTGGTGTGGTGTGGTGGGCCGTACAAATTCGGTTGGACGTGTTTAGATGTTCTATGTTGTTTCCAAACCATTTTCTTCTTTCATTTCTAATGTTTTTGTCTATATAATTGTGTGAATATTAATTTGTTTTCATGTCGTATTAATTTATGTTACTCTCTCCGTCCTTTTATTATATACATATTTTTTATTTTGTATAGGAATTAAAAAAGTTAAAGATTTTTTATAAAACTAATAATCGAGAGTATGAATATAAGTATATAATAATAAAAAAAAAACGGATGGAGTATTAAAAATGATTAGCAATTTAATAGGTTTGATTTAAGGAAATGATACTTGTATTAAAAGTATTGATTTTTATCTTAAATGTCCTTTGCATATAAGGAAGTTAAATAAATGTGATTTTTCCCTCAAAAAATAAATAAATGTGATTTATTAATTATGTGAATATCCATTTAAGAAGTAACCTTTATCTAAAGGCTTCCATTGTATCATTGGACATAGGTTTGTAAAGTTTTAAAAATTCGACCCAATACTTAATGTCATTGGAATGTCTTATATTCATATGATTTTTAATTATCTAAACTTATTTTATTTTTATCTAAACTTATTTGACCTTAATGGAACTCATCTATTATCTATCTATCTATCTATTATACTAAAACTGAGTATGATAACATTACTATTGCCCACGTGTCGCTCTCTTAATAAAAAAATTCCCGCCTAAGGGCATGTTCACATTTACTGAACTGGGATGAATTGAACTGATTGGAGCTGAACTGAACTAAACTGAACTGATTAGAGCTGAACATAACCGAATTAAACTGAACTGCTTGGAGCTGAACTGAACTAAACTAAGCTGAAATGAATATTTTATGAGAGAGAGAAATTAGGAGCTGAACTGAACTGATTAGAGTTGAACTGAACTGAACTAATTAGAGCTGAACTGAACTGAACTGAAATTAAGTAAATGTGAACATGCCCTAAATGCAATGATTATATCATTTTTTTAGCTATCATAATTAATATTTTTAAAATTTAATATATTAGAACCCTCTATTACAACTATATATCAATTTATTGTTAAAATAGCTAACTAATAAATGACCTTTTATATTAAACTATGTATTAGACGACGTTAAATAGGTATGATACTATATCATAATTTTAATGAAAATAAAAAATTTTAAAATTACAAATATTTTTTTATATGTAATATTTATTTATATTCATGTATAATAGCCATTTTGTTTTTTAAAAAATGTACAAATTACAAATAAGATTTATATAAACCGTGCTCGCACGAGTTCTAACTAGTTTTAATTATAATTTTTATCAACCCTTATCAAAACTTATTTTTCTTAAACTTATCTGAACCTATGAGACCTAAAATGTGAAAATAAGGTTAACAAAACATAGCCTAGGATGTGATTTGTGCTAAGTTTTCTTTGTGATACTTATTTTTCTTAAACTTATCTGAACCTGTGAGACCTAAAATATGGAAATAAGGTTTACAAAACATAGCCTAGGATGTGATTTGTGCTAAGTTTGCTCTATTATACCACATGTATGCTAATATTTAATTATAGCTATTTAACTATACATGTCAATTGTATTATGTTGTATCGCAAAAATGCTAGTCAAGTAATACTAACAGTACAACTCAACACAAAATATCGGTGATTAACATTTATATTTATCTCAATGGCAGTTCAAAAGATGGGACCACTTTGTCCCTGAAAATCATGACTCACGGCGTTTACCTCAGGATTCCTTATTCCTCCTACTTATCACCATTATTGGAACAAATTGCCATCTCCTGCTTCTTCCTATAAACCACCATCTAACCATCTTGTTCTTCCCCTCTGATCCACAACTAAAAATCAGCCACCATCTTGTTCTTCTTCCCGCAACCTACCCACCTTCATCTTTCTTCTTCCTGCAACCAACCCACCTTCATTTTTCTTCTTACGCCGACGTCGACACCGACGCCGATACTAACACTGACACCAACACCGATATATTAATGGCAGAATTAAACAAAAATCCTATGAAAAATAGAGAAATTCAGGGTATAGTTAATCCCAAAGCGTAATTTATATTTCTCTCCTCCATTGAAATTCCATCATTGAATTGAAGTCTTGAAAATGAGTACAAACATTTTCGAACTCCATTAATAGGCAAGAAGCTTGAAACTGTGTGTGGTTGCTTTTTTGAGATATAAAAAGCTTAACGGACGTTTGTTATCTCCGTTATCTTACTTTTCTTTACCAACTAGCAATATGTCAAAACTTTTGTTCAAAAGCAAATTTTTATTTTCTGGGCACGAACATCAATGAACTTTTATTATCATTTTACGGATATTAATTTGGATTTTCTCCGAAATAATTGGAAGATTTCCCTAAAAATTGTTGAATTGTAAATTAATTCCCGATTTGCGTTGGTTTAAAAACTTATTCCCACAATATTGTCCACGTAGGTTTGGTAGATTTTTTTTTTTTTTGCAAAGAACCGCTAACGGTGATAGCGCTTCTATACTTATAAAACCGCTAATGTCGTTAGCGGTTCTTGTATTAGGTTCTTGTATAAGAAAACTTCACAAGTTAAAACTTAATATAAGAACAGCTAACAACGTTAGCGATTTTATAACATGTATAGAACCGCTATCACCGTTAGCGGTTCTTTGTAAAAAAAAAAAAAAAAATACCAAACCTTTTTTCAATCCTAAGTTTATGGGAATAAGTTTTTAAACCGACGTAAATAGGGAATTAATTTACAATTCAACAATTTTTATGGAAATCGTTCCGAAATAATTACACATGTGAAAGTGAAACAGTATAATCTTGCATCAGTTTACTTGCATGTTCTAGTCAAGTAAAATACGGAGTAAGAGAAAAGGGAAAGAAACAAGAAACAAGTATGGAGAAGCAAAGGCAGCACTCTTCCTACTGCTGCATATCCCATGGATTCCACCAAATTGCCTCTACTAACCCTAACAAATTAGCCATTATTCAAGCCAAAAATGGCCCCAAAAATCTTAATTCTGAAACTAAATTCAGTAATGCTAATCCTCCAGTATATGAAGGCGACAAGTTCTTCACTTTCTCCGAGCTATCATCTGCCGTTGATTCCCTCAGTTTCAGGCTTCATCTCATTTTCAATGGTGGTGATGATCCCTCCTTAATCAAACCCACCTCAGGTAACATCAAATCAAATGTTACAACAAAAATAATTGGAATTTACATGGTACCTTCAGTAGAATATGTAATTGCTGTTCTTTCTATCTTAGAATTTGGTGGGGTTTTTCTGCCTCTTGATCCTTCTTGGCCTAAAGATAGGATTTTGTCAATAATTTCATCTTCAAATGTTGATATTATAATTGGGTGTTCGAATATTGATAAAATTAGTAGTACCCACTTGGTTGATGAATCACATTGGCTTGTTAATTGCTGCAAATTTCATGTTTTATGCATAGATTTTGATGGGGTTCTTGAACAAAAATGTGGGAAATTGGATTTGGGTTGGACTTGTGAGAGTGGGAAATTGAGAAATTTTAGCTATTTGATGTATACTTCTGGGTCTACTGGTAAACCTAAAGGTGTTTGTGGGACAGAAGAAGGGGTTTTGAATAGGTTTTTGTGGATGCAAGAGTTTTATCCATTGAAAGAAGATGATGTTTTGTTATTCAAGACATCTATAAGTTTTGTTGACCATCTTCAAGAATTTCTAGCTCCTATGCTAGCAGGATGTACTTTGGTGGTGCCCCCTTTTCATGAATTGAAGGGGAATTTTTTTGGTCTTGTTGATTTTCTGTATGATTACTCTATTACTAGAATAACCGCTGTTCCATCGTTAATGAGGGCGCTTCTTCCTGCTTTAGAGGGACGGTATTCCGAGCAAGTGATGTCTTCATTGAAGTTGTTGGTGTTGAGTGGTGAAGTTTTTCCCATATCTTTATGGGAGATGCTTTCTAGGATACTGCCTAAGGCTTCTACTATCTTAAATATATATGGAAGCACTGAGGTCTCTGGTGATTGTACTTACTTTGACTGCAAATGGTTACCAGAAATGCTTAAAAGTGAAATGTTGAGCAGTGTTCCTATAGGTAAGCCCATTTCTAATTGTGGTGTTAGGCTTAGTGAGAAAGATGGGAGCTGTGATGAAGGAGAGATATGTGTAACGGGTGTATGTCTTTCGAGAGGCTATTATATTGATGGTAATATTATGCCCTTGGACTATGAGGGATTGAGAGAAGAATCTGTTTCTGATCATGGGTGTCAGAGTAGTAAGCTTTACTATAGAACGGGGGACTTTGCTAGAAGGCTTCCAAGTGGTGACTTGGTTTTTTGTGGAAGAGAAGATCGCACCATTAAAGTTAATGGCCAACGTATTGCACTGGAGGAGGTAGAAGATACATTAAGAGGACACATAGACATAGTGGATGCTGCTGTAATTTCCTGTAATGAGCAAGAAGGGTATGCCTTTCTTAAAGCTGTTCTAGTGTTGAAAGATAAAGGCAAGTCATCTCAAATTTTGGCAGCTGTAAAAAGTTGGATGGTTGACAGACTTCCTTCAGTTATGATTCCCAAGGAATTTTGTTGTACTGAAACCCTTCCTATGTCTTCTACAGGAAAGGTTGATTATATGTTACTACCTAGATTTTTTTCTCCCGTTGATGGTTCAAACAAGAGTCATGTAAAACTTGGCAAAACTTTAGACCATATTAAAGAAGCCTTTTGTAATTCTTTGGGTGTTGCAGAAATTGGTAACGATGATGACTTCTTTGCAATGGGTGGTGATTCGATAATTGCAGCTCATGTGGCTCATAACTTAGGAATTGATATGAGATTGCTGTACATGTTTCAAAGTCCGTTAGAGCTTCAGAAGGCTCTTGTAGAGAAAGAAGGTCTTTTTGAGGTTGACCACCAAGTAAAGTGGGAAACTTTGCCCAAAGCTCAGAAAGTTGACTCGCCTCCTTCATCTAATTCTGGATTAGTTAAGCCCAGGAAACACGGAGAAACTACATGGACTGATACTGATGAGCAAAGAAAACCTAAGCATCTTAAAGTAGTTTCTGATTTATATTCAAATCTCAAGGGTGTAACCTCACTTAGTTCCATTCTATGGGAATCTCATTCGATGCCAGGCGAATGTGCGATCAGCCGTTGCAACAAGGTTACCTACAATAGCAACTGTGATTTAAAAATCAAGTGGCCTACTCAGGAATTTGAACTTCCTAGTAACAGAAAAGGGTCATTACGAGAAATATGGAAAGTTTCCTTGGAGTCTTGTGTTGATGCATCACCATTAGTTACTTTTAAAGATAACCAAATCTTAATATTTATAGGGTCTCACTCCCATAAGTTTCTCTGTGTTAATGCTAAAAGTGGTTCCATAAGATGGGAGATAAAATTAAAAGGTCGAGTGGAGTGTTCGGCTATGATTGATGGAGATTTCTCTCAGGTTGTAGTTGGGTGCTACGAAGGAAACGTATACTTTGTTGATATGATGAAGGGAATCATAAACTGGACTTTTCAAACAGGTGGTGAAGTTAAGTCACAACCTACCATAGACAAGTGCAGGAACCTTATATGGTGTGGCTCACATGATCATAATCTGTATGCTCTAGATTATAGAAATTATCACTGTGTCTATCAATTCCCTTGCACCGGAAGTATTTTTGGCTCCCCTGCAATTGATGAGGCTCGTGATATGCTTTACCTGGGCACAACCAATGGAAATTTGACAGCTATAATGTTAAAGGCTTCTGCATTCTCTGTTGCGTGGCAACTTGAACTTAAAGCTCCGATATTTGGATCTCTTTCCATAAGTTCTGATGGCCATGTGTTATGCTGCTTAGTTAACGGGGATGTTCTGTCTTTGAACTCGAAAGGATCAATTGTTTGGAGGGTAAAAACTGATGGTCCAATATTTGCCGGACCATGCATCTCTAAGGCACTTGGTTTTCAGGCTCTGGTATGTTCTAGGAATGGGAATGTTTACTCTTTTGAGTTGGAAAAGGGTAGAATTTTGTGGAAGTACAATGTTGGAGGTCCAATTACATCTTCAGCTTTTGTCGATGAAAATATAAAGTTAATATCTGATCCTTCTGTTCCTTCTGAAAGATTGGTTTGCATTTGCTCCAGTTCTGGTAGAATTATTCTGCTTCAGGTAAGTTGTGCTACTGCTGAGGATAATATAGCAGAAGAGGGAGTTGAGAAATTTGCAGAAATTGATCTTCAAGGAGACGTATTCTCTTCACCAGTTATGGTTGGTGGACGGATTTTTGTAGGTTGCAGGGATGATTATTTGCACTGCATTGTTGTTGAAGACTTGAAGCACAGTGGCTAATGAATTGACTGCCTGTGTAAATAGTAGATACATGGCTGTGTTCATTTTTAAGAGATTTCTTCATCAGTGCTCTGCTCCTTGGAGTTGAGGGAACTCCCAAAGCTTGTGAATATACCAACAGGAATGCGGTACTTAACTAACCTCCGTATCCTTAGAATTTGGGAGTGTGAAGAGTTGCACTCGCTACCTGCTTGGTTGAAGAAACTTACTTCTCTGAGGCAGCTAGATGTTCGAGGTAGCCCTTACATACGTGTATGAAAGATGTCAAAATCCGGATGGGGAGGACTGGTCCAACATTCAGCACATCCCCCCATGTTTCAATTAGATAGTGATCAAATCACTTCAGTATTTCTGCTGCTATTAGCAGGTCTAGTTGTCTGCCAAACTTTTAATGTGTGAATGTGTTGCAGAAAGAAGCTGTTTCTGTCTTGATAAGACCCTAACAAGGATATTCCTATTATGATGTAGCTGAACATGAACTTGCTGTTTTTTCTGTAAGGATATTGCTGATAGATGCCTATGTAATCTACTTTTTGTGCTAAATATGGGAAATTTTTGCATTTATAGTACTGATTACTGCAATTCAATCACAAAAAGTAATTGTAGTGAGTTTCTAAATTGCAGACTTTTGAGAAGTGCAGTTTTAGTAACCAGCATTTTTAAAAAATAATTATACCTGTATATTGTGGTGTCATGTTGTTTCCGCAATCTTATTTAATTTTCCGATTAGGTGATAATCCCCCTTGTTTCCTTTATAAGTACTTAGTTATGCTCTGGGTGATGCTTAAAATATACAAACCATGTTCATCAACCAGGAAAATTTATATAAGTGTACTCGATTTTAATAAGCTTGACTATCGCTGAAACTTCGGGATTTGCTGTTTGATTACAAATATCTTAATAGTATTCTGGATCTATAACATGTGAAGCAACTTTATTACTCTGATTTTTTTTTTTTTTTTTTTTTTTTTTTTTTTTTTTTTGAAAGTAGAGTTTGCTGATCACTCACTAATTAAGTATTAACTAGTCTAACCCTTTGGCATTATCATAATCTTTACCTCCCATCAGTCCACCACAGCTGCTGAACTCTGAAAGAAAAATGAATTCCGGAACATTGTCTGTTGTCCAAACTCTCCTTGAAGCACTGCAATGTTCTCAACTCAAAGATGTCTGTTCCATCTTAGGTTACAAATCAGAACTCGATCACCTCTGTGACACGGTCTCTGCTGTCAAGGCTATGATCCACAATGCAGGTGCCCTGCCAGAGGTCCCCCATGAAGCACAACTATTGATTCAGGAGCTCAAGGATGTGATTTATGATGCTGATGATTTGGTTGATGAGTTTGTTACTCTTTCTGAGCAGAAGCAACTCATAGAAGATGGCAAAGTTTCTGAAGAGGTGTGCTCTTTTTCTCTCGTTTCAGCCTGTTTGGTGTTGCTTACAAACTGTCTCAAGGAGTTCAGAAGATCAGAGAGAAGCTAGACACTGTTGCTCATAATGATAATAAGTTTGGCTTCAGTCTTGAGTTCTTACCCATCAGGAGGAGAAGAGAGGAAACTCGCTCATATGTCGGTGCAGATAATATTGTTGGGAGAGAGGATGATGTCTTCAAAATTTTAGGTATGTTGCCTGATTCTGATGATGCTCACCAGGGTGTTAAATTCCTTAGTATTGTGGGACCTGGAGGATTGGGTAAAACTGCTCTTGCCCGACTGGTGTATAACCATGAAAGGGTTGTAAGTGCATTTTCGCTGAGGTTGTGGACTTGTGTCTCTGATCAAGATCAGAAACAGTTCGACGTGAAGGAAATTTTTAATCAGATTTTAAGATCGTGTTTGCAGCAGATGGATGATGGCCCAGCAGATCAGACGCAAGACCGACTTATGGGACAAGTGGCAGGAAGGAAATTCTTGCTAATATTAGATGATGTATGGACTGAGAATCTTGATCAATGGCTTAAGTTGGCAGAATTCTTTATGGCAGGTAGAAGAGGATGTTGGATTGTGGTAACGACACGTTCCAGAGAGACAACAAAAATTATAGGAAATGGTCCTGTATATGAGTTGCAAGGCTTGTCTGAAGAGAACTCCTGGGGTTTGTTTGAAAAGATGGCATTTGAACAAGAAATTCCCCCAGAGGACTTGGTCAAGATTGGGCGAAAAATCGTTGAAAGATGTGCTGGTGTGCCTCTTGCTGTATGGGTGGTAGGAAGTCTTCTACATGGTCAAGGCAAGAGTAAGTGGCTTTCAATTCAGGAGTTTGGACTAGCAGACATCAGAAACAGCAAAAACATCATGCCGCTATTGAAGCTTAGTTATAGTCACCTTGGATCTTCGCTGAAGAGTTGCTTCAATTATTGTGCATTGTTCCCTAAAGGTTTTGAGATAGAAAAGGAGTGGTTGATTAGCCTTTGGATGGCACAAGGCTTTGTTGTTCCATTAGATGAAACTCAAAGCATAGAAGACGCCGGTGAAGAATATTTTTCATTGTTGTTTCAGAGATGTTTTTTTCAAGATATACAAATTGATGAATATGGTGAGGTTGTCTCGTGTAAGATAAATGCTCTCATGCATGATATTGCTGAAGAATCTGCAGGAAACGAGATATGTGTAGCAAATCCTTTCACCTGCAACATGGATGGTAAAGGTCACCATCTATCCGTTATAAGAAGCAAATCTGCAGTTAATGTTTTCCGCAAGAGTCAAATTCGTACCTATCTTCAGGTTGGCAGGGTGGATCAGTTATCTACAGAGCAATTACTGGAAAATATGACTTGCCTAAGGTCATTGGTTTTGAAGGATTCGGGCATTCAAAGTCTACCGAATTCAATTGATAAGTTACTACATTTGAGATGTCTTGACCTCTCTGACAATGTAATTCTGGAAGTACTTCCTGAATCAATTACAAACCTCCATAATTTGCAGACATTAGTATTAAGATCTTGCATCAGATTGAAAGCGTTGCCAAAAGATTTGAGCAAGTTGGTTAAGCTCAGGGTATTGGATGTAGTGGCATGTTATAGGTTTACTTCTATACCTTCTGACTTGGGTAAGCTGACTTGTCTTCACACACTGACTAAGTTTCCTGTGAAAGCAAGTTCAAGTCTAAAGCAATGCTCAGATCAACTAGAAGGCCTAAAAGCTCTTAAAAACCTCAGAGGACAACTTGAAATCCATATCCAACTTCCCAAGAATCTGAAATATGTTAAGCAAGGCTATATGGAAGTATCATATCTAAGGAGCAAGGATCGTCTCAATTATATTCGGTTTTGTATTGAACATGCAGAGAGTGATGCAAGCATTGCTTATGAAGAAGCCATGCTGGAAGACCTGCAGCCGCATTCGAATCTCAGGGGATTGGTGTTATTTGGGTATCACTGTGTAAGAATGCCAGGTTGGGCAGGGGATGATAGCTTGGCAACCTTCCTCCCGAATCTGGTTAGGCTAGAACTATCATATTGTCATAACTTGCAATACCTTCCTATTCTTGCAAGCCTAAATCATCTGAAATTCCTCTCTATTTTCTACCTGCCAGATTTGGAGTACATTGATTCTTTTGAGGCAGGGTTAAGTGAACACAATCTCCTTTTCTTTCATTGCTTGAAGAGCTTCGGTTATGCAAGCTGCCAAACCTGAAAGCATGGCATAAAAAAGAGGTGGTAGGAGATTATCTGCGCGTTGGTGGCATCCGAAAGCAAACATCTCTATCATCATCATTTCCCTGCTTTCCGCAGTTGAAATTATTGCATGTACAAGAATGCCCGGGGATGACCTCAGTTCTGTTGTGTCCAAAGGTTGAAGACCTGGAGCTGTACATTTTTAATAGAGCACTGCAAATAAGTGTGATAAGAAAGAGTTGGGATGAAAAATGGGAGGTCACTTCATCCTCTTGTCTATCATCATCACTGTCAGATGCTAAAATTTTGAGTCTTCCCAAACTGAGATCCCTGAATACAGATAACATAGAATGGTACAAATCGCTCCCAACAGAAGTTTTCCAGTGTCTTACTAGTATTTGTATATACTGGGGCAAGGAGCTGGAGAGTTTGTCACAAGTTGAGGAGGTTTTTCATAGCTGCTCGTCTTCTCTGCAAACCCTGATAATATGCCATTGTCCTGAACTAAGAAGTCTTTCTGAAGGGTTGAAGCATCTCACCGCCTTGGAAACACTGGTTTTGGAATATATACCCAATCTCTTCACCAGCCCTGAATCAGAAGAGGAAGATGGAATGCCATGGAGATCCCTTGATCAGTGCCTCCGTTCCTTGGAATTGAGGGAACTCCCGAAGCTGGTGAATCTTCCAACAGGAATGCAGTACTTAACCAACCTCCGTATCCTTAGAATTTGGGAGTGTGAAGAGTTGCACTCGCTACCTGCTTGGTTGAAGAAACTTACTTCTCTGAGGCAGCTAGATGTTCGAGGCTGCCCCCAGCTGTATGAAAGATGTCAGAATCCGGATGAGGAGGATTGGTCCAACATTCAACATATCCCCCATGTTTCAATTAATTAGTGTTCGAGTCACGTCAGTACTTCTGCTGTTATTAGCAGGTCTAGCTGGTACTCTGGTAGTCTAACTTTTGGTGTTTGAATGTTTTGCAGAAAGAAGCTTTTTCTGTCTTGATAAATTGATAACACCTTACAAGGAATGTTCACATTATGATGTAGCTGAACATGAACTTGTTTTCTGTTAGGATCTGATAGAAGCCTATGTAATCTACTTATTGTGCTTTATATGGGAAATTTTTGCATTTATAGTACTGATTACTGCATCTTAATCAGCATTTCACAGTTCTTACTGTTTTCTTCAAATATTTTTTGTCTGGTCAGTTTATATTGACTTTGGTGTATTGTAAATAAATCATCCTCTTCTAACCCTGGTTAAAATCGAAGAACAGGAGCAGGAGCAGGAGCAGGAGCATCTCACTCAATCGTTTTCTTTCCAGATTCGCACTTCGTACTGACCATGTTCTGAAGATGATTTACAGCTTATGGTGAATGAAAATCTAGTTGCAACACATCTTAATTTGAGCTTTGGTGGCAGCAACATCCTGCTACGTAGTATAGTTAACCAGCAAGATCTTAATTGGTTATAGGTCGTTTTAACTTGTAAGTGATCAAACACAAAAAGTAATTATAGTGATATTCTAAATTCCAGACTTTTGAGAAGTGCAGTTTTAGTAACCAGCATTTTTTTCCCCATAATTTACCTACTTAAAGGGCAGGATTGGTTTATAGTCCCACACTTAATTTCTAAAAATTTTGTACAAAATGTAACAATATTTCCTCAAAGCTTATAAATTAAGCTCATAATGTCCTATTTATTGACTACCATCTCCTTCTTCAACATGCCCCCAAACCCAGTCTCAGTCGCCACTCTACGCAGCCTTGCTTGTGCTCGCCTCGGAAACCCGAACCCAGATTTGTGTCCTTGAAGACAGAATAATAAAAAGAAGCTAATCAATTATGAGGTGAACAACTGAACATTGTCACACAATTACCATGACAAACAGCCCTTCCCTTTATTACCTTTGCTCATTTTTAGATCACTTCTTTAGGACTCCAAGTATATTTGTCTGTCTGTATTAGCATAAAATTCTTTTCCCATCAAAGTGAGCAACTTGATGAAAACAAAAGAACACCTAATGTGGCCCACCAATAATTCATATTACAGCTTTGGTCTTTCCTTCATCATCAAGATCCAAAGTATAATTAAATGCAGTCAAGATTAAGAAAACATAAAAAATGCCAAGTTCTATAAAAGAACACATGGGCAACATATATATTATTGCACATTTGTACATTTAATCAGGAATCAAAATGTATAACATGACAGACATATTTATATGTCAAGAAGAAAAAATAAACATAACCAACAAATCTGAAGAACTAAAAATGGACATTGACAAAAGGTTTTTGAAACCAATCTCACATTCACATACAATGTTTTTCAATATAATCTCGTCGAAAAAGGGTGGAATAAATGAATGATGAAACAATCAAAGGTACTACTATTGGGAAAATACCCACTTCATATAAGTTAAATCAACAACAAAATCCCTTCTTACAAGAACAGGGCAAGTCCTGCTAATGCAAGAACCAGGCTAGCCATGACTCGACAGGAGGCCGAAGAATCTAAGGGTTTTTTAGAGGCAGCTGGTGAGTCTCCGTCTTTGGCCACATCTGCAGGAGAATCAGCAGCAGCAGGGGCGATTTCAGGAGCCGGTGCTGGGGCTGGCATAGGAGGAATGTCAGTTCCAAAGATGGCCTCAGGAAGAAGCACCTTGTCAACCTGGTAAATGGCAACAGGTTCAGTAGAATATACACTGCTGCTAACTTTGGTGACACTCCATCCTGAAGTCAGATGGATTGTGCCCGAGACATCGGTGAAGTTCAAGGTGTAATCACCACCAGCAAAGGTGTTGACAGGCCCTATGGTACTGAGGTTCTTGAACTCGGCGAGAGAGTAGTAGTGTGGCAGGGCATGGAAGAGGCACAGCTGCTTAAGCTGGTCATGAGTAAGGTTAGACAAAGAAGGTTTCTTAAGGGCTGAGAAGGCACTGTCCTTGGGAACAAAGAGGGTAAGGCCTTCATCAGTGTTGTTGGCTTGGTTTTGCAAGGTTTCAAGCACTTTGGTGGATTCTAGGTAGTTTAAGAATGTGTGGAAAGGGCCAGCAACACTCAGTAATTCAGTCAGGTTCGTATAGTCTGGAGCCGGTGCCGGGGCCGGAGATGGGGTTGGAGTTGGACTTGCAACAGGTTTGCTCTTCTTTTGAGCATTGGCCAAAGGAGAACTCAACATCAACAAAGTAGTAGCAAATAAGAGTACCATGGTTTTCTCCATTTTTGCTATTTTAAGCAATACTCAAAGTTACAGATTTGCCCAAATTCACCAAATTCCTGCAAATTGACCAAAACCCATCAAAGATTTACACTTTATTTGAGTAAATCTTACAGAAATTGACATTTTAACAAACCCCAGAAAACAAAATGTGTAATTAAATTAACAATAATTACAGATCTTGGTTGGTCAACTAAGAAAAGTAAATCATCCACTACTAACAAAATTGTCAGATTCAGAAAGAACCGAAGAACTAGTCACATTGAAGCTACATGCAATGATTAAAGTAGAGCTAAGCAACTGAAAATGTATCAAATCAGTCAAAATCTAAGTAAACTGAACTTAAAATCAGCAAAACCCACTTTAATTAGGCTCAAATTCTTTGCTTAACATACATTAAACTTCCTACAACGGTCAAATTCATCAGTTTTCTAAGTAAAACAGCAGAATTATCAGTACAATATTGCATGTACATCAGCAGTATAATGCAAATAGATCTAGATCAGCTAATATAACAGTAAATCAGAAACACCCACAAACTAATACAGTATTCTCACAAAATGTGAATAGATCAAAAGCTAGATTAACATAGAAATCATGAATAAAATGAATGAAAAATAAAGAAAATGTAGAAGACTGACCTGAAAAGGGAGAGTACAGAGAAGAGGTGAGAGAGTGACAATTGGTAAAGAAGATCTAAAATGTGAGAGTATTTAAAGGGTAAGTGTAATTGGCAGGTAAAAGCTTACAAAAGTTGCTCATGAGCTGGGATTTTTATGTTAAAATAAGATTTGGTTGGTGCTAAAATTAATGTATGGTTTTCTTTTTTTTTTTTTTTTTAAATAAATTAATTATCTAATTAATTTTCAATATACAAGTAGTAGTGTATAATGGTATGTATACTTTGTATATGATGAGTGTTTTGTATATGATGAGTGTTTTGTATATGATGAGTGTTTTGATGGAAAAAGAGATCTAGAAAAATGGTCAAGTAAGGTGGGATTTCCAAATCAACCCTCTCAAAACTTATAATTGTTGTGTACTATTGGGGGGGTCTCCAACCTTGCACTCTACCCCATCATTGCCATTTTCTTGCAAAATTGCTTGGTTATTTCCGGAGGTGTATTTGATTAATAGATAGTAAAAAAATGTACAATGTATTCGAGTCAAAACTATGTGGGAGCCAACTTATTTTAACTTAAGTGATTAAACACGATATCTTTTTAAGTTGATTACCATAAGAGTAATGCTATCTATGGTATAAAGTTATATCGGGGGATGGAGAAAATGACAAAAAGTTATACCATACAATACCATTTTCGGTACAAATATATACCACCTACACCATGGCTTGCAAAATTACTACTCTATATAACTTTTAAAGCATTTTTTTAAACATATTTAATTTATATTAGGGTGTTAAAAGCATTTTTGCTAACATTGTTATTATTGTATAACACTTTAATAAATAAGGGTAACTTTTATTCATTTATTGGGTTTTTGGGTCTGTTCACATTTACTTAATTTCAGTTCAGTTCAGCTCCAATCATTTCAATTCAGTTCTATTCAGTTCAGCTCTAATCAGTTAAGTTTAGCTCCTAATTTTCCTCTATCATAAAATATTCATTTCAACTCAGTTCAGCTCAGTACAGTTCAGCTCCAATCAATTCAGTTCAGTAAATGTGAACAATCCCTTTCTTTAACTTTTTGGTTATCTTTGTACATTAGGAAGTGATAAAGATGATGAATTTTTTAAGGGAAATATTACTACTCCTAGAAATTAGGAGTAATTCTATTTCAAGAGATCTAATCATTATTTTATAAATTAA